TCATAAAACCTTCCAGGTCCTCTGAATGTAGAGTCAGTTCCTTTTCTATTACAACCCAGACACAAACAGAGTAGATGCATAATAAATGTGTAAATGATTCAGGTTCACACAATGGCTTTATATGTCAATGTGCAAGGGAGAAAAGCTGCCACCCCTTTGTTCAGAAAAAGAAATAAAACAAGATATTTTATAATTTCTCCTACTCTCAATTTGTATTCCATTCTTCTGTATCTAGTAGAGGAAATGAGACATAAGTCTCATTGTTTAATTTGTTGCCCCCAATTAGATGTCTAAGAGAAGGATGCTACTTTTTTCCCCCCAAATACAGATTCTGTCTATAAATTAATGGTGAAATGAGGGCTGTTCTTCTTCAAATTCTTATCCTTTACAATTCAACTATAATCTTTCTTTTTATTCATCTTCTAATCTCTAATGTCTCTTGCCAAATAAAGTTGATCCTTGTTCTGACTTTGTTCTGTTATTAGTAATGTATAATTGGGCAAATTATCTTACTTCTCAGATCCTCAGTTTCTTTTTCTGATGGAGCTAATATACTCCTACACAGGATTATCATGACCAAAGTGATTTGTTAAATTTAAAATACTATGTAAATGTAAGTTATAATTCTTATGGTAACCAAACAGATAGCAAAGAAATGTGACTGAAGTATCATCCATGCCAAGGAATGTAGTTTGTAGCAAGTAGGCCCTGGTCACATTAATGAAATGATTATAAATAAGAAGTGTCTATGTATTTGGAAAGCACATAAAGAAAATTCTTTAATTTTATATAATTCATTTAAAGAGGAGAGAAGAGTCACAACCAGGTCTTCAAAAGGAAATTTATTAAAAATAAAAATGAAGGTGGGGAAGGGAGAATCTCTGTTCTAGGAGAGACTTCAAATGCTGTATGGTTTTTGAAAGGAAAATAACAAGATAATATCAGAGCTATATAGTATGATAAATGGTATGAAAAGTAGTAATCAGCTAGTCTCTTTCCATCACACCTGAACAAGAAGGTACCCACTAAATTAAGTGCCAATAATGTCAAGGCAAAATTAAACTTTTTCCCCCTAACTATAGGCATAATTAACCTGTGAAAATTACTCTCTCTGGATGGTAATGAAGCAAATAGCTTAGTGAGATTGGAAACATATCTGATTCACTATAATGGGATTTTCAGTTGGATCAAATCACAAGATGTATTAGTTCTTCTGAGTCAGGGCACACATTGATCATTAGTAGAGACAGAATATGTTTTCCCCAGTAGTAGGAGGGTTTGTGATTAAAAATGCTAGCATGTGTTACAATGAAGTTAAAAAAAAAATTCATCCAGACAAACAATTTATTTATCAAGGCATGCAGTTGAACAAATACATCTAGTCCAAAATTTTCCAAAGCCAAAGATAATGACGATTGGTTTCTACACAGTTAATGTACAATTTGGAGGAAGGGAAAAACAGGATTAGAGTGATTGAGACACCTGGTTTCTTATTGCTAGAGAGGACTGGGAAACAGTGAGGTGAGAGGGAGAGGGGTGGTTCTGTGGCATTCCTTAAATTGGATGAGAGATGGGAGGGGGAATGATCTTGGGAAATATCCAAAAATAGATGACTTACGTGGAGTTGAAACTTAACTTCACAAAATAGTGGATAAAAGGAAAAATGGAGTTACTTATGCTATGTTTAATACAGTAAATGCTAAGGTTTGTTGAATTTGCAGCCAAGGTTGTTTTTTTTTTCCTCAGAATAACTGGTATAGATTACCAGGAGTATGAAAATTGGAAATAATGTCTTAAATAACTTCCAGATCATAATTCATATGCTCTAAAGTACTCTTAAGGTCTAAATAGCTATGGTAGTTTATGATATTCCATTAATCTGGAATTCCATAATTTACTGCTTTTAAATTTGGGAGCTACTATGTTTTCATCAGCAACTCATTTGGGAACCATAATAATAATAATAGCTGATATTTATTATTGTTGCTGTTATTGTTTTTAACCCCCCATAAATAACAAGTCTTCTGTTATTTACTGTAGCTGGTATTTATTTAGGGCTTTCTACTTTGTAAAGCTTTTGCCAGCTTCTAGAAGAAAATCCTTATGTTTCTTCAATGCAAAGGGAAAATATCTCTTAAATGGAGCCTTTCTTGATTCTTCCCCTCTCCACACACCTTGATTAGTACATAATTAGTATATTAGTACATAATTAATACATAGCACATACTGATTAGTACTCTCTCCCTGAAGTTATTATATATATATATATATATATATATATATACACATATCTACCTATATATATATATATATGTATATATATATATATATATTAATCTTTGTACACATCATGCTGCATGCACACAGACACACAGTCACACACCATAAATTATTAACTCCTGGAGGGCAGGGACCATTTCACATTTGTGGCCCTGCGTTCCTCAACAAGTGCTATCTAACTTTTAATTTTAGACCTCTAATGAAGGGGGGCCCAGTACTTCCTGAGATGACCCATTCTCTTTTTGGATATCCTTTTATTATAAGAAAGATTTTGTTCTTGTTTTATGTTAAACCTAAATCTGCCCTTCAGGTATTTCTCCCTTGTAGGACCAATGAGAATGAGCTGAGTTATTCCTGAAATACTAAATTGTGTGATGCCTTTATATTTCATCTGCTTAACACCTGGCAGATTGCCTTGCACAATTTTTGGTTGTTGTTTCTGTCATATAGTCTTGTGATTTCACTGATATAGAGAAACTCTCCATGAGAAAGTTCCCTCTCTGAATGCAGATAGGTAGTGGCTTTGCTCTTTACCCTCTTAAAAACTTGCCTGAAACACTGAGACATTAAATGATTTGCCTAAAATCACCTAGCCAATGTCTGACTGAGGTGAAACTTGAACCCGGTCTTTTCAATTCTGAGTTACCTCCCTAGTCACTGTGCCAGCTTGTTGCACATAATAGTTGCTTGATATTTATTTAGGCTAAGACTACATATGAGTTAGATGAGATTTAATTGGTTTACAGATCATTGTGCTCAATGCTGAGAGAAGCACAAAGACTAGGGGGGAATGTAGCCCTTGCTGCACACAACTCAATCTAGTAGGTGAATAATTTAGAGGAGATTATTACTTAATACTAAAATGGATTTATGATTTCCTCTATTGGGGAGTTCTCTCCAAGGTTGTAGATTGAAAACCATCTATGCCTGCTTTATATTGTGAGATTCTAATCCATTTTCTCTCAACAGTTGGCCACAGAAAGGACCACCCAACTTATTGAATGCTTCCCTCCATTTCTATTGCCATCTTTGGTCTATTGGTGGAGCACTTTGGTGATTCATCTCTTCTGTCTCAGTCTTACTAAATAGAGTTATCTCTTTCTGTCATCTTTTATTCCTGTTCTTTTTTGGCATTCCTTCTTGGTTCTCTGTTGCAGTCTATTCACATCCATTATATGCTAGAGAATATATAGCCCCAGAGAGTCACTATAAACACAGCACAATATAATTAACTGAAAGTCAGGAATCACAGGTTGTAGCCCAAGTCCTGTCATTTCATTAGTTTTTAGTCTGGGAAAGCATTTAGCTTCCTGGGACTTTGTTTTCTTCATCATTAAAGGGTGGAACTGGACTAGATAACCTTCAAGTTTCTTTTCTAGGTTATAATTCTGTTTGAATGGTGTGGAATAATATTTCCATTCTGCTCAGCTCAGAGTTGTAAGATCTGAGTTAAGATTCTAGCTCTGCAGCTTATTACCTGGGCAACCTTGTTCATATCCTTTAACCTCTGAGTTACAGTTTCATCAGCTGTAAAATTAGGTGATTGGAATCTTTGAACTCTGAGGTCACTTGTAACTATAGATCTATAGTCCTAATGGGGATCCTAAATCTTGCCTTATCTTTAATATTTCTTTGGAAGATCCTGAACCATGTTTGTGTTTAAAATAGAACGTTCAGAATATGAAAATATCTGGAAATGAAGGCTTTGGGCAAGATGAGTTCAGAGTTCCTTCCATCTCAAACATTCTATGAATCTCTTATTCAATTTATAGATAGTGCAAAGAGAGGCTACTTTTTCTCCACTGTGGAAATATGTACCATTTCCTTTGGAGGTGAGTGAATAATAATAATAATAATAATAACCATTATCATGATAAAAGATATTATTGTTATTCAGAATGATCTGATGTTAATGTGCAATAATCATTATGTGCCTGGACATGTAATTTCATCATGAGTAGATATTATACTGAATGATAATCTTTGTTCCTAGACCCAGTGTCCTCTTTTTTTTACCCCATTAATTGTGCTTCCTATCATTTTCTACGAGAAACACTATTTCCTTCAAAGCTTTTTAATACATTAGTTTTAAATGGTGCAAGCAGTCCTGATCATTTCATCAAATGAGGTTGGAATGAAGGAAGCCATGTGGAGAGAGTTTCTCATTCAAATAAAATGGTTAAATAAAGAAAAATACAAAGGGAAGCCAATAACTAAGGCTAATTTAAGCTTATCTTAGAAATACTTTATTTCAGAATATTGGACAAAAATATTGCCAACTTTGTATTGGCAAAACTGCCAGTACTACCTAATTCAAACAACTGTTCAAGCGATGAGGGATGTAAAATGTGTTTGTTTTAGGCACAGTAGCCGTATGTTTCAATTTCAAGAAGAGGACCAGTTCTTTTAACAGTTGTTTGGAAAATGAATATTCTTTGTCAAACCAGGTATCCTAATTTTTATTTCAGAAAAGATGGTCAGCATAATTACAGGTAAATAATATTTATGAAAAGAAGAGAAGATCCATCTTACTGAGGGATGCTCCATCATATTTTATGGAATAGGAAGAAAATACATAAATCACCACTTTACAATGTATTGTAATATTTTTTTTGCCTTAATGGAGAGCCAAAATAATAATTGTCTTTCTGAAACAAAGCTGAGCTGGCAGTGATAAGTACCTTGCTTATGTTTTGTTTTTCGCTTGTCTTTAATAATAGATCTTGATAATGTGGAAGGTATAGCTGTGGATTGGATTGGAAATAATCTCTATTGGACAAATGATGGCCACAAGAAAACCATCAGTGTAGCCAGACTCCAGAAAGCATCACAAAGTCGGAAGACTCTCTTAGAGGGAGAAATGTCTCATCCTCGTGGAATTGTTGTTGATCCTGTCAATGGGTATGCAAAGAGTTTACTTCTGTTTTAACCAGTTAGAGATAACTTTTTTTCTTTCTTCCTTTTTTTTAAAACTTTTGGCAATATATGAGGTCAGTGACAGATTTAGGAAATATTATTCATTTTTTATTTTCTAGTAATCTTTAAGTCTGTATCTTGAAATAGAATGGAAAATGAAGGCCAAAGTTAACCAGATAAAATCCTGATCAAAACACATTCACCAGAAATAAAAAGATTAATAGTGACATAGTTTTTCTAGACTGGCATTTTCTGGAAAGTTACCTTACTTTTCAATTTCAGGCTATGTATTAATGATTCAAACATCAATTCATTCCATTCAAAGTCATGAATAGGACAAAAACTACTAAAAACCTTTTTTTTTTGGTTTTTGTTTTTTAATGCAATGAAAAAGTTTGGAATTTATTCTAAACAAATAATCTCAGTTTTTCATAGACAAAAACTAAAGTTGCATAAGTAGACCAAGACTAGTGTTCAGAATAAATGTAAATGTATTTTAAATGATATGACATGAATAGCTCCTGATTATAAGATTTCTCCAGCTCTTTTATCCCAGAATAAAACTTTTCATACATATAAGAAAATATATTTCATAAATATAAGAAAGTATTAAATATAAAAACTATTAAATTCCTGACAGTTCTCTACTTTTTTTTACCTCAATGAATGTAACACAGTAGTGTTTTTATTTTTTTTCTCCTCTGTGACTTAGGTGTTGCTAACAGATCTTATTGGCCTTGGTAAGCTTCAGAAGTGCCAGAAAGAATAATTTGCCTGTAGTATGAGTGTTACTATCTGTGAGTCACTCAGTTAACCTTTATTAAGCACCAACTACGTGCCAGGATTTGTGCTGAGCACTGATGATACAAATGCAAATGAAAACAGACAGCCCTTGCACTCAAAGAACTTACAACAACACACAAAAAGAAACTGAAAAGTAGAGGGGTAGGGAAAGGAAGGTACACTTCAAAGGGGGCCAGGCTAGGGGGGAGGGGACAAAGCATGATGGAGAGTTCTAAAAAAGTCCCCAAGCATTGTAGCTGCTGGGAAATTTAGAGAAAAACTGTGCTGAACCTTACTTTAAATAGAAACCCTGGAATCCATGGCTCTGCCCTCTGGTCAAAGGGTACAATCAGAGGGTCAGAAGGGAGTAGTGATGAGATGTGAATACCAGGTTGATTCAATCTTTTGGGATAATAAGATTTCTCAATGATGAGTTTCCTGGGGAAACTGTTAAGCCAAATTAATTGCCAGCCTAACCACTTCAATCTAGGGCTCTTAAAGCATGTCCCAGGACTCTCTACTTTCTCCTTCCATGGATACGGCAGAATACTCCAGCTCCTCAGAGCTACCAATGTTAAATATAGAGACATTTGTATCATTCTAGTCTCCCTTTTCCTATTAGATCCTCATGATCCTCTTAACACTCTCCCACTTGCCTAAGCAAATGCCCTGGGAAGGTAGAAAGTTTTGTCTTGTCTTGAATCACAAAATTATAGAATATTAAAGTTGGAAAGAATCTCAAGTCATCTTGCGAACACATATCTGACCAATGATCTCCAGTGTTTCTTAAACTTTTCCCCCCTGCAACCCCTTCAGTGCTTCTTAAACTGTGGATCACAACCTTATATGGGTTTAAGAAACACTGGATATTATTACAACATCTTCAAGCAGCTCTCTCATTAAAGATCTTCAGTGATGGGGAACCGTTATCTTCTGAGGAAGTTCACTTCAGTTTTTGAATACTCCAATCCTATTAGCTAATACTACTGTTACCAACTGAGTCAGCAATCCTCGCCTCTGTGTGTTGTTTTCAAATCTGATAACTGGGTCTGGTGCCTAGAACTCATTTAGGGCAGTCAGATGCTCTCTTGCTTTCCCCTTCATTTATCTTGTGTTTCAACTTCCTGTTGACTAATTTTGTTCTGTCCCTCCTAATAAAAATATAATCACTTTGGCAAGAAAAAACAAAACAAAGTAAGAGTTGAATAGTTAGTTCTGCTTTCTTTCTTTTGTCTGGGATCATCTATATACCAGTTCTAAGCAGCAGACCTCTCTCTTCTTCCAGCCTTTTTTTTTTCAAACATAGCTAAAATATCACTTTTTGTTGTGTTCACCATTCATGTCAACCTCTGTTTGTTACGAACTTAAGACTCTGCCACTCTTTTGTATTCATCCTCTCTTATCTTCCTTTGCCTATGTCCTTTATATGCCTTGAAAAACTTTTAAACTAGTTAATGAATTTGTAGGACATCCACACCAGTCCCTCTAGAAAGTGCTCTTTTTTCTTCCTCCTTAGATAAAATTGTGCCATCAGAATTACATTCTTGGGAGCTTCCTGTGTTTCTTGAACAGATTTTCCCAACATAAGTTTGGTCCCTGGGATCCTACTTACCTTTTCTACGAACTCTTTGAAATCTGTTCTTTGGAAGCCTAGAGTACACATCATTCCCCAGGGTTGAATTCTATTGCCTACAGCTAGGTAGAATTTTAAAATAAAGTTATGGGAATAAATGTGTACCTAAGGGTCTGAATGTATTTTGTTTTAAATGTTTTATTTTTACTTTCAGATATTTCATAATACAGCCACCACTCTCCCCCAGCCCCAAATACAGAACTTTCCTTGAAGGACGGTGAATGATAAAGTATTTATTAAGCACATAGTGTATTTTAGTACAGTGCCTTAAAGGAAAGAAGTAAAGTTTAAGCAAAGCAAACAGATGCACTGACCAATCAGTCAGTCAGTAAACATTTATTAAGAACCTCCTCTGTATTAGATATCCTGATAAGTGCTGGACATACAAAAAAAAAAAGTTAAAATAAAAAAAAAATCTCTGTTCACACTCTAATTGGAAAAAACATGCAAACAGCTTCAAACAATCAAGCTATATACAGGTTAAATTGCAAATAATCCCTAGGGGAAGGGCACTAGGATTAAGAGTATTAAGAAAGACTTCCTATAGAAGGTGGAATTTTGTTTGTGACTTAAAATAAGCCAGGAGACAAAAATGAGGCCAGGGAGCATTACAGGTATGGAGGACAACCAATGAAAATGCCTGAGTCAGAGCTGGAGTGTCTTGTTCAAGGAAGACCAAGGAGGTCAGTTGTCACTAGTTTATGGATATGGAGGTGGGGAGGGAGTGGAGGGGACAATGGGGGAGCATGGAACATTATGAAAGGCTTTGAAAGTCAGAGGATTTTATATTTGATCCTGGAAGTGATAGGCAGCCACTGTGGTTTATTGAACAGGAGTGCTGACATGGTCAAACCGACACTTTAGGAAGATCACTTTTACAACTGAGTGGAGGATAGATTAGAATGGGGAGTGACTCGTGACAGGGAGATCACAGCAAGTTGTTGTAACAGTTCAGGTGTGGGGTGATAAAAGTGTGCACCAGGGTGGTGACAATATCAGACTTCACCTACAGTTTCCTACCTAGTATGGGAGAGAAAGGAAGCATGTCTCATCAGGCTCTCATTTTATTTTAGAGATGATATTACTGTTATAAGTTGGTAATATGGAAAAACACTGACCTAGGACTTGGGAGACATAATTGGCACTGTCACTGACTTTAGGCAAATTAATTTTTCTGCATCAGTTTCCTCAGCTGTAAAATGAAGAGGTTGGACTAGAAAACTTATAAGATCCCTTATAGTGCTAAGATTCTGTGATTCTTCAATCCAGCATATGGATCCTGCCAGTCATTCCAGAAAGTGATAGAAGAACCCATGAGCACAGGTCAGTCAACAAGGAAGGAAAGAAATAAGCAAGCGTTTATTAAGTGCTTGCTATGTGCTGGGCTGTGTGCTAAGCATTTTACAAATATTTTCTCATTCGATCCTCTCAAAAACCCTAAGAAGTAAGTGCTATTATTATACCCATTTTATAGCTGAAGAAACTGAAATAGAAGCTAAGTGACTTACCCAGGATGAAACAATTGGTAAGAGTCTGAGGCAGGATTGGAACTTAGAATGTTCTGGCTCTGGAAAAAGTGATCTTATCTATCATTCCACCATGTGATGCTAAAAACAAGCATTTACCAAGTGCTTACTATGTTCCATGCACTGTGAAAAGCACTGGGGACACAAACATAAAAGTGAAGATAGTCACTGCCCTCAAGGAGCTTATATTCTAATGGGGGGAATCACACACATAGGGGAGTGGTGGCCAGGGAAATGTATTTTAATTTCAAAAACTACTGCATATAACGTTGACCCCCTGGAAATCGGATGAACACATCTTGTCCAGGAGCAGAAAAGAGAGAGGGATAAAGGCTGAAAGGTTGAAATACTTCTGGGAGGGAAGTGAAAAGTCCTTAGATGATAATATTCTCACGAATTGGAAGGAGAGTCACTCTAGAGAAAGGTTATGGCAGTCTGTGGTTTCAGAAAAGAAATCTCAACATTCCATTAATTTGCACAGGGTGATCCCTGTTTACCTTCTATTGTCCAGGTTTAATAATTGTGCATTGAGTTATTTCATTGTACACTTGATAATGGGGGAAATTCTGTTTTATATAATTATATATCTATATATTTATAACCTCAGCAGAATTCAGCATGAAATTATTTCCTATCTAGGGTATTTGTTAAAAGAAACAATCATTGGCACTTTTTTTTTAATCTAAAGGAAGGTGCAGCTGAATAGTGAAGCCTTATTATATCTTCCATGGCTAACAATTTTATAATTGTTTAAACTTTTACAGGTCTAATGAACCTTATGCTTCAGCAAATGGAAGGGAGGAAGTATTTATGACACTAGTTTCAAAAGTTTAGATATGTTTTATATTAGACATGTAAATGGATGTGTATTCTTGTGCACATAGACACTCCCTCCAACAGTATGGATTGAAAGCCTTCCACACTGTCTCAACCTATCAGTTAATTACATTTATCCTTCTACATCATGATTTTCCCCTCATGGTTTCAATATATTGTGGATTGGCATAAAAAAATTAAATAGGAATTTTGGGGGGTTTTGTGGAAACAATGGATAACATGTGAAGGCTAGCAGATGACACAGAAAGAGGTTAGAAACTCATAAATGCATAAAATATACGTGTAGTATTGTATAATATCAACCCAAATTTTACAATAAGGTACTGTAAATACCCCATTAGAGAAAAAAAATCATACTTTTCTGGTATGAAGGGAAGACCAAAAACATTTTACATGCATTTTGCAGATTGTGGGAGCACTGCACCCTAACCCCCACAATGTGGAAGGGCGAACTGTAATCAACAAGAATATCATGAGCCAAGCACTGTGTTCTGAGATTTTGACCCTGTCCTGTGAGATTGTTGTCCATGTCCTATAATGTTCCGTGTGAGGTCCACAAAACATCCTGAGGGGCCTCTCTCTGGACCTTGACATTGATGCAGTTCATACTTTGCCAGTCTGTTTTCTAGAATATAGTTGGTACTTTTAGGAGACCTAATAATCATCAGTAATAGTAATAGAAAATTTCTCAATATCTGATTATGATGCTAAACATAATAAAATGAGTAAATGATAATCAGGTACATAAGTTCTACCAAGTTGGTATCTTCTTATTTACAATATGTGCATATGTTCAAATATGTCTGTACTCTATTTCATGTGATCTCATCACTAAGGGTACTCTCTCTAGTGAGGAAGATCACTCACAACCCATCTTCCATGAAATATGAAATATCTGACCTACATGTGAAACTCTTGTCCACGTCCTAACCTAAGTTCACCACAGGGGATCTACTACTCAACAAATATTCTCATATTCTCTTCAAGAATAGCAGTGAAGTGCTTAGGCCAATCATCAGTTAACTCTTGCTCCTACTACCTGAATGAAAGAACCAAAGAAAAAGCTTTTATTTACATGTAAAAAGTATTGTATAAGTGTTGAGGGTATAATTTGAAAAGCAAGATAGAACCTGTACTCATATTATAATAGTGGGAGAAAATGTGCCTATAGGATATTTCAGCTGCAAATTACACGGGAAGACCCAATGGTCCTTAGGATATAGCTGCCCAGCAGATGGCAGTGAATATTGTTTAATGGTAGCTGGAGTTCTTGTCTTATGGTCATGAAGACCTGAGTTCAATTCTGGCCTTAGAGGCTAATTAACTTTGTGACCCTAGAAAAGTCACTTAACCTCATTTTCTTCATTTGTAAAATGGGGGTGATAATAGTAGTTACCACCCAGGTTTATCAGAATAAAATAATATTATATCTGTGAAGTGCTTTGCATACCTTAAAGCACTATATAAATTCCAGCTATTGTTACTTTTATTGATAGAATTTTATTTCTCTTTTTGAACCATTTCAAAGACTTTGGTGATCAGAACTTTCTTTTCTGGGAATTCAGTGTTCATGACTGTTGAGGAAACAGGGACAGGGTGAAGCAGGACAGAGGTGAATGGTAGAGAGCATCCCTACCAGAGGTGCTCCCTGAAAAATGGTTGTGAACTTGGGCTGTTAGAGGAGTTGGTGACCTGGAGCATGCTGCAGTTCTCCTTGCTCTTAGACTCTAGGTTCTGGGCCAGAGGTGAGGAACGTATGGCCTCGAGGCCACGTGTGGCCCTCTAGGTCTTCAAGTATGGCCCTATGACTGAATCTAAACTTCACAGAACAAATCCCCTTAATAAAAGGATTTGTTCCGTATAACTTGGGCTCAGTCAAAAGGCTACACCCAAGGACCTAGAAGGCTGCATGTGGCCTTAAGGCCACAGATTACCAAACCCTGTGCTGGGCTATTTCCAGTAGGGTCAAATGGGAGGGGACAGTTGTGGTATTGGTTATGGTTTGACTTGCCTGGCACATGACATTTCCAGTTTGTCCCTCAGGAAGTACTTTCCTTTCAGATAAATTGTATTTCCTGCCAAGTGAGAGGCAGCTGGTCCTCACTTGATGGTAGTGGTGGTATGGATGTTACAGACCCCTTCTCCATAGGGTTGACTCCCTAAAATGATAAGTTCAGGGAACAGAATGGGAATAAGCACGACGGTCTAGAATTGGGAGGTGATGCAGTTTCTAAGTCTGATGGATTTACCAAAGCACGTGGCCAATCTACTCCCTTCTTCTATCATTCCTTTATTCAATTACTTATTTTTCTCACCTTAAATACATGAATGAAAGTCATCAGGGTTTATTTGGCTCCCTGATCACAAGCAACTCTTTCTTCCCTCCTCACTTTTGCCACATAGAATCTTTGCCTTTCTTCAAGATCGAACTCAAACATTACCCACCTTCTTCAAGAGACCTACCCTTGTCCCGCCAGCTGCTAGAACTTTTCCTTTTAAGGTTATATTTAATTTATGCTATAGGTCTCTTATGTGTTCCTGTGTGTGTTGTCTCTCCCATTAGAACGTAAGCTCCTTGGGGTCAGGGGATGATTTTGCTTTACCTCTAGCACTTAGTACTAGGGCCCAGCAAATAATAAGCATTTAGTAAGTGCTCCTTGGTTGATGGATTCTTTCATAAAGCAGCACAGGGAAGAATGATGAGATCAAATGAGGTAACATGTACAGTGCTTTGTAAGACTTTAAGTACTGTATAAATGGTAGTTATTACTATATTTGTAGTAGTAGTATAATGTCTAAGCACTGACATGTATAGACTGCTTGCAAGATGCATATTGGAACAATTAGAAGTTAAAAAATCAAAGAGAATAAAAAGTAATTTCAGTAGGTAGTGGATAGAAAGTTGGCCTCAAAGGCCTGGGTTCAAAGATTGCTTTTAACACATACTGGTTAAGTGCCCCTGGGCAAGTCACTTAATGTCTCAATGTTCTACACATCTCTATTAATTATGTTTATAAAATATTAGATTGTGGACACTTCAGCAGGTAATTCATAATATTTTAATTTCAGCAATGGCAATGCAGATTCAAGACAATAGGTTGCAGTCCAGAATATTAATCAATTTTTTGTCTGTTTCCAAATTTAAATCTATAAACCCATGAGAAATCCCTATTAATTTCACTAATTGAAGAAAATTCAAGATCGAGAGAAAGATGTTTATCAACAGCATTGTGGTCTTTAGACAATTGTGATTCTGCCAGACAAACAAAAAGCTACCACCCAAGAAGCTAAGCAGCATTTGGGGGCCCACAAAAAGAAGATAGTTGTGTAGGATCAATGTATGTAATAAAGACATTCTTGGGGACAGCAGTCTAATAGGAGGACAGGGGAGAGGGCTGAATTAAAACTTATAATTGAATTAATAACTCAAGGCCTTTCACATGACCTTAAAACAATGCATGGGGGGCGTTTTTGACCCTGCCCATGAGAGAACTGGGACATAAGCCTATACTTTTTTTTCTCCTCCTTGTAGCTTGCACAAAAGATTTTTTTTTTAAAAGGCAAGCTGCTTTCATTTGAGATTGAAATGAAGCTCAAAACCTCAAGGTCAGTTAACCCGCTGTTATTAAAGTTGTGTGCAGCTAAATCATCCTCTGTGGGTTTTGGGGTAGTAATAAGCAGCAATAAAACACAGATAATTTGCATCAGGAAGACAAATTAGACCTGGCCAAACAAACCCAGTATGACTGTGCCCTTTAGAACAAAGACAATCCAATTGCCTACCTTAAAAAAATAATAATTCATCTGAGATTAAATAAAGTCTGGAGTAGGTCATTAACTGTATCCTGGATTCTCATGTCAGTCAATCTGCTTTTTAATCACATAATTGATTATATTCTCAGTGTTGAGAACAACACTTAAAAACCTATCACTAAACCTAGGGGAAAAAAAGTCATTTCCTAGACAAAGTATTCTTCTGAGACTTTGTCTATACCAAAGAAAATAGAGATTTGACAGTTTTCTGTCAATTTTACCATTGCCTTCAACCAACTCAGATTATGTTTTGCCTTTACATAGCCAGATGGACTGTCTACATTGATTAGATTTAGCAGGTAATTGCCAAGGCTTCACTTCCCTTGGTGCTTCATTGACAGTGGCCTCGGATTATAAATAGGCATACTGAGGAAGACCAGACTTGAAAATTTTTTTTAATGTTACAACCTCTGATCAAGGCCTTTTTTGGTAAGGTGTCTGATTAAAATGATGTTTTTATGCTCTTATTTATAATTTCTTAGATGGATGTATTGGACAGACTGGGAGGAGGATGAGATAGATGACAGCGTGGGAAGAATTGAGAAGGCCTGGATGGACGGCTTCAATCGACAGATTTTTGTGACTTCAAAGATGCTGTGGCCAAATGGTTTAACTCTGGACTCTCATACCAACACATTGTACTGGTGTGATGCCTATTATGATCACATTGAAAAAGTGTTTTTGAATGGAACTAACAGGAAGGTAAAGGACAAATGCTGCTGTTTTTACCCACAGACTTTTCCTTTCACAGAGCCTTGTTGTGTTGTGTTAAAAATACTTTTAAGTTTATTTTTACCCCTCTGAGGTTGCTGCCAATAGTCTCTGTGGGGTAGCCAAAGTCGGCTGAGCTGAAAGCAGTGCAGCTGGCATTCACCTCCAGGAGACCAGGCGCAGCTCTCTGTGGTATGCCAAGGATTTTTTAAGCTTTCAGGACATCAGAGTTGTTTTAAAATCCAGTTTCCCAGTATTAGGGGAAATATGCTATGACTGAGCCACTCAACTGTATACTCAAAGATCTTCAGCATTTACAGCTGGCATTTTAACCCACATCAAAATACAAAGTAATTATGGAGCATTTGTTCAAATAGAGAACATAATGCTGTCAAGGCTAAAGTCCTAATGAAAGGGTTTAACATAGGAGTACAAACTAACTTGTGGCATAAATGTGCTGAGATCTTGGCCAACTGGCTTAAATGGAGGTTTTCTCTTACCTTTCCTGGTAGGGTGATTGCCTATTGAGCCAAAAGGTGGTTCATTTAATGTTAGATGAAAAGCTTGACTCTCACTTGGTTAGAAGGGTGGCTAAAATGATCATTGCAGGATTGGGGGTAAGAAGCGAGGGTAAAACAAACAGGCACAAAATCAATCCTGTGTTCTCATTTTAACACCTTAATCCCATATAGCACCATAGACAGGCACCATCTTCCATCTAAATAATGTTATGTGAATTACATTATAAATTACTAAGATTCTCTACAATTTGTTTCCCATTTCTCAACCCTTTTATAACTCCATGACATCTTGTTTGCATGTTGGAACTCCATTAATTAGTCAAGTCAGTTTTAGTCATTGTTTTATTTTAATAATACTTTGAGGTACAAATGCTTATTTCACACAGAAGTATAGTAATAGCTATACAGTGCTGTACATATAGAAGTCACTCAATAAATGCTTGTTTAATAACTTTGGTTATACTATAGCATAGCACTTTGGTAAATGTCTCCTGAGCTGATCTACACATTCAGATTGAACTAGATTGGCAAGTATCAGATAAGTCTTGCAGGGCAAGACTTTTGTCACTACTCAGAAGTTAACTGAGGCAAATATAGGTATTTGGGGTCTTAATTATCCAGAAATATCCTTCATCTTCTGTTTAGAGATAGAACTCATTTTTATTCCTGGTTCTCAGGTAACAGGATTTGACTGGCTCAGATGAAAAACTTGTATTAATTTTGCCACATCCCAACTTCCTTTTTTGCTTTTGAAATTTTAATGAAATACATTAATACAATTAATATTATAATCAAGCACTGCTGTTCATCCACTTTTCACTAGTAAATCATGTTCTTGTATCGGAACTAATGCCGTGTTGCAACTCATGATCCAAGTAACAGAAATTTTGTTACAGGAGCCTCAGCAAGGAGAGTGATATTTTCTTTAATACAGGCTGTTAGTTTTCAGTGGAAATTCTTCCTCTCTTCTCCCATCATTAATTTACATTTGGTAAAAACCTAAATGAATTATTGACTAGTTCAGAAGTATACATAAATCTTCCAGTTGCACAAGTGTCTACAGATGAATAAAGGGAAGATCCACTCCATGTGTCAGAGATGCTTTTTCTATGAAGAACCCAGGTTACCTGTGGGAATATTTTGACTCAAGCACATTAATAACTCTGATTCTATCCACTGAGTTGGGGAGTGGGTGATGGTACATAGTTAGAATTAAAATATCCTTTCATTGGATAGCCCAGTTGACCAATAGCAACTCACCCTTATAACTGTGCTAATTGAAATATATTAAAATAAAAGTTTATTAGAAAAAAATTTAAAAAATAAATGTTATTCTAAAATGAGCATATTACAAAGTTCTAAAGCCCCACAGTGAATAGTTCCTAGTACCGCTTACCTTCTCAGTATGAGGACTCTTTTCATGGCAGTTTCTTCCATTGGAAGTTCCCAAGAAGTCTAGCTGCATATAAGTCTCACAAAATTCATTCTTAGCCACAATCCCACTTTCTTATCAGTTGTGTCCAAAGATGTCTTCAACTGATGTTTTCTCCTAACCTGTGATCTCTTTCAGTCCTTTAAAATATCTATAGCTCTCTTTTGGAAATTTTGATACACATAACAGAAGAATAAAAGTTTCTTTTTTGGTCTGATTGAGGACCAGGAATCCTTACCAAAAGAGATTACTGTTCTAGGTGATCCCACCAGGATTTCTTCTTATTGAGGCATATCTTCTCTGCCTATCCACATATATTGAGACTTACCAAGAACTAAGTTGATAAACCCTCTCTCTAAGATAACTCAACTCCTGTTTGGGGCTACATTCAATACAGTCAGTATTTATTAAGAATTTATAAAAAAGCACTTATTAAACACTTTGTGCCAGATTCAGTGCTAAACTGGGGAGAAACAGTCCCTGACCTTAAGCGACTTACAGTATAATGGGGGAGAGGACAAGCAAACACATATACAAAAACAAGCTATGTATAAGATAAATAGGAAATAAATCACAGAAGGCATAGAATTAAGAAGTTAAGAGAAAGACTTCCTGTAAAACAGAGATGGGCAATGAATGGTACTCAGCCTACAACACTGTCCAGTGTAATCTGAACCAGATTGAAATGCAATTGGTAAATATTTTTTAAAAATACAATAAAACATGGATAATACTATGTGGTTTTCTAAGTCAATATGCACCCTGAAGGGATTCTTACTTATGATTTATTGGCCTCCATTCCTGTTTGAGTTTAATACCAATACTGTAGAAGATGGGATTTTTGTTAAGGCTTGAAGGAAACCAAAGTATCCAGGAGGCAGAGATGAGGAAAGAAAGCATTCCAGGCATGGAAGAGAGCCAGAGAAAATGCCCAGAGCTGAGATGGAGTATCTGATTTGTGAAACACCAAGGATGTTAGTGTCCTTGGATCAAAGAGTTCATGGCAGGGAATAAGGGATAAGAAGACTGGAAAGGGTATGTGTATGTATGTGTGGGGGGGGTGTGTGTGGAGGGATTCAGTTACAAAGGGCTTTGAATGCCAAACAAAAATTTTTATTTGATACTGGAGCTACTAGAATTTATTGAGCCTGTGTGTGTGTGTGTGTGTGTGTGTGTGTGTGTAGAGGGGCAGGGACTGAAGTAGTCATGATTACAGATGCACATGGCCAAATGAAGGGTGGATTCTAATGGGGAAAAACTTGGGGAAGTCAGACCCCACCAAAAGGCTATTGCAATACTCCAGGCATGAGATGATGAGGGCGTGCACTAGAGTGGTCACAGTGTCAGAAGTGAAAAGGAGGTATATTTGAGAGCTGTTACAAAGGAGAAATCCAGAAGCCTTGGCAAAAGATGAGTTATTGCAATAAGAGATAGTGAATAGCCTAAGTTGCCAGCCTTGGGAACCTGGAGGATGATGGTGCAACAGGGACATTTAGAAGGATGGAGGGTTTAGGAGGAAAGATAACAAGCTCAACTGTGAATGTGTTGAGTTTAAGATGTCTAGTGAACATCTGGTTTGAGATTTTGGAAAGTTACCTAGAGATGTGGTTGGGCAGGAGAGGTAGATTTGAGAATCATCAGCATAGAGATTACCAAGCAAAGTAATTTAGTGAGAGAAGAGGGCCCTCAACAGATCCCTAAGGGAACTTAGGGTTAGATGGCATGACCTTGAAGGGGATCCAGCAAAGTAGACTTAAAAGGAGTGGTCAGATAGGTAGGAGAACCAGAGAGAGTGGTATTCCAAAAATCTAGGGAGAAGGGAGTAGCAAGAAGAAGGTGCTCAACAATGCCCAAGGCTGCAGAATGGTCAAAAACATGAGAATTAAGAAAAGGCCATTGAGTTTGGTAATTAAGAGTAACTCAGAAAAGAACAGTTTCTGTAGAATGATAAGCTTAGAAGCCAGGTTGCTAAGGGTTAAGAAGAGTGTGAGAGGAGAAAAAGTGGAGGAACTTGTTCAATTTGAGAAATGTTTAGTAGTAGTGACTTGCAGAACACTAGATTAGATAACTGGGACTAGGGAAGCTATTAAATTGAGATAAAACATAAATCCCTGACTTCATAAACCATATAATCTAGGAGGGGATATATGACAAATACACAAATAATTATAGTACAAATTAATACATGCTAAGTGTATATAAAAAGATATAAATTTCACTTTGTGAAAGTACGAGGACAAAAAGGTTGTTAGTTCTTAAAAGTGAAGTTTTGGTAAGGGAAAGGAGATCAGAGAAAGCTTCATCTAAGAGGTAGTATTTGAGTTGAGTTTTAAAGTACAGTAGATAATGAATAGATAGAAGGGGATGGTACGTAGGGAAAGGGAGAAAGTGAGGAAAGCCTGTGGCACTAATCTTACTTGTAGATAGGGCAACTGAAACCTCCCCCATACCTAACGCCTTTCCCGCTGCTTGCAATAAATTTCTGGTGCCACTTCCAGGGATAATTTCCTGCTGTTTTGGGAGGTGGGAAGGCATTCCAGTTGTTTCTCTGTTTACTCTTTTTGTATGGAATTAATCAAATCAAACCTAGCCCAGGTTAAACTATTTAAACCTCTTCAATTAGCTTCAGGGAACCTGGAATTCAGAGCTCAGAATCACTTCAGGCTGAGTGGGACTGCATTAATCAAGCAATTTCAGCAAAATTAAGATTTACTACTTAAAATGTAGCTTAGAGTAACTAGCCACTTCATCATTTCAACTTTTGTAGATGTGGCTTGCCTTAAACCGATCGGTAAAATGATATTACCATTGAAAGTTAAGTTCTTGTAAGATTGAAAAATTATATTCTTTATTGATTTGAAATCAACAGTAACAACTCTTTCAAAACAAAACAAAACAAAGCCTGGTTGTTCTAACCTTTCTTATTTCAGAATAGTGTGTGTGTGTGTGTGTGTGTGTGTGTGTGTGTGTGTGTGAGAGAGAGAGAGAGAGTGTGTGTGTGTTCTGTTCTAGCTGTTTTATGTATTATTGACAAAGAACTTGTGACAGTATAAAATTTAGGGAATGGGAGTAGGCAAGGAGACTTTCACTGAGTTCTTTCACTCTAAAATTTCCTGACTATAATTTCTTTGTTTTTCCATTACTTGGGACTTTTATAAGATTATGGCATTACAGTAAATGTACTCTATTTTCAGGACATGTGCTTTCACCTCATGTGTCTCTCACCTAAGGGCTGCTATAATAAAGTGTGCATTTTCACCATAAAAATTAAAAATATATACATAGAGGATTCTAATTGCATTCTTCCTTCAGAAAAGAAGCAAAACATGACCTTAAATCCCCTCTTCAGTCACATTATGGCACTAAACATATGGATTCTTTTCATGGAAGGGAAAAGTGCCTATCTTAAAATAATTTCTCTCACAAATAAGAGAAGCACCCATTACAAAAATTTTGATCTGTCCATCTACCTTCACACACACACACACACACACACACACACACAATTAGGGGACAAAAAACACACTTAAGAATCATTATCTTTTCCTCAGTTCTCAGTGTCTTTTCCATAACCATGCCTACTGAACTATGCTATTTAGTTGAATACGTAAGTTTAATTGCTTCAGTCACAGCAACTACTACTACTACTATTACTACTACCACCACCACCACCACCACCACTGTTGTTCAGTAATTTTTCAGTTTTGTCTGAATCTTCATGACCCCATTTGAGGTTTTATTGTGTTACCAAATGACCCCCAGGCCCATAAAGGAACCTGAAATGAAACAGAGTCTAATATACCAATTAAATGTTTACTGTCTGAGAAAAGTCTTGGAGGGGAGAGAAGATCCTACAAGAAGGCAGAAAGGTAGAGAGAGTTCTTCAGCTGCTCAAAGGAGAGAACAGAGGGGTAAGATTATCATTTCTAGAGGCTTTCAGAGGGGGGAGAGAAGATTTAAGAGAGAAGACATGATATGCCAGGGAGTAAGGTATTTGTCTGCAGTTGCTGCTCCAGGCCATCCTCAAGTCATTTAAGGCTGGTTCGGCCTCTGTAGCCATCTCCAACTTCATCTAAATTTCACTTCACAAAGGATCACTGGTATGTCAAGCAGCTCTGAGCCTCAGAAATCCTTCTAATTAGCTTGTTGTCATGTAACTCCACTGTCCTGCTCCCTGATGAAAAAAGTTCTGACATATGTTATAGTGATTACGAGCTCGTGTTCACACTTAACAAAGTTACTGGAGCAGTTTACCATTTCCTTCTTTAGTTCATTTTACAGATGAGGAAACTGAGGCAAACATTGTTAAGTAATTTGCCCAGGGTCACATAGCTAGTATCTGAGGCTGGATTTGAACTCAGCTCTGACTTCAGGCCCAGCACTCTATCCATTTGCAATCTATCTGCCTCAATTACATAGGCATGGGGTAGGGAGGCTTTGTTGCCCTTCACTCATTATTGCTCCCTAATGATGCCAGTTATACAATTTGTTTTCTTCCACATGATGTGTTGGGGGAATATAAGGGGAAGAGACAGGAGAATAAGTCAAGAAATATGATTTTTAGCAATCATAGAGCTGTGATGGAGTTCACTTACTTTTGTGAGTAGGGGCAATTAATACAGAGCAAAGAAGAGAATGTTTCTGGTGAAAAGGGTGTGAACCAAGTCAAATTCTGAAAAGGAAAACAGAATATTGTAGTAAGTCAGGCTAGAATTAATTTCATAAATAAATCCAAAGTGCAGATAGAAATTCAGGAATTTGTAAGCCTAAATACTATAGGGCTGGGAGTGGGATTGGAGAACAATGAACATAGAGTAATTCAGGAAGCACATCACAAAGAAAACATACTTAGGTTTAGGTGAAATGGCAATTTGACTGTGGATGGCTTCTTTCAAACAGAGTTTTTAATGGTAGCTGTGGAAGGAGTTGGAGCATTCATGCCTTCTCCCTTCATTGCATCAGAATCACTTTAGGCCCAGAGAAAAGGCTGAAGTTGTAATCACCATGGTGCAGTGAAAGAAACACTGGACTTAGATTCAGAAATCATGAATTCAAGTTTCTACTTTGATATTGACCAGTTGTATGATCTTGAACAAGGTGCTCTAAGTGTCAATTTCCTTGTCTGCAAAAATGGGAATAATAGCATTTCCTCCAAATACTTCACAGGGTCGCTATGAAATAAACTGTTTGTAAAGGGCTATTCAAAGGTGAGATATTGCTATTACCAATAAAGCACATTTAAAAGTGATACAACATTGGTAAGAGAAAAATAAGCATAAACCAGGAATTTTAATACTCAGTTACTCCTTAAATACTTAGTGTCTTGTGCAATAAATAGGTATGTTCATAAATAAAATTAGTTCTAAAGAGCATTTTTGGAAATTGATGAAATAACATATTGATGAAAATGTATTTACTATGAACTATTACATGTTTGACTATTGTCTTTACCCAAGCAGCTGCCCAAACCTGAAAGATCTGATCTCCTTTTTCTTTCTTTCTTACTACATTGTAGGTCGTCTATAGTGGGAAAGAACTGAACCATCCCTTTGGACTGTCACATCATGGGAATTATGTATTTTGGACTGACTACATGAATGGCTCGATCTTCCAACTAGATTGATGACCAGTGAAGTCACACTGCTGAGACAGGAAAGACCACCTTTGTTTGGGCTTCAGATATATGATCCTCGGAAACAACAAGGTATGGGGGAATAAACAAACTTTTTTTTTTTGTCAAGGCATGGGGTGAGGTGACTTGCCCAGGGTCACACAGCCAAACTCAGGTCTACCTAAATCCAGGGCCAGTGCTCTACCCACTCCTCCATCTAACTGACCTTAAACCAATACTTTCGATAACACTTCTGACTTTCATTCAGAATTATATTTTGCAGTAGTTATAGAAAAGCTTAAGTTTGAAAATACTGCTGAAATCTTATGATAAAAAGTGTTTGGCTCATTCCAAATCAATCAAATATCACCATAAAACCATTATGTATTATTTTAAATAGTCAGAGTGACTAAATGGCTTAGGGTATTATATTTGAATGAAGTTGTGATGTTTTCTCCCATACCTTCTTTTTTGATATCATTTTTACCTGAAAAAGAAAACTCTTCCTATCATGAAATAATCCTCTTAAGCTTTTCAAGAGGATAAGAGCTAAAAGCTTTCTAGTAAGGAAAACTTTTTTTAAGGGAAAAGGAAAATTATTGGAAAAGAAATAGACATTTGAAGGAAATCTAAAGTAGAATGTTTTAAACAGAAATGAGAATCTTAATGGTGTTTCACCATTCATTTATCTGATTAGCTTCTTTGCTGATTACTTTAAAAGAACCTAATGCTACCTCAAACTGATGTCAAAGACAAATAATAACTTATCTAATGTTGTTCCCTAAAAAATTAAATCATTTTCTTATATATTTTATCTTCATAAACTAGTAGTTATGTATTAGGCCACACATAAATAACATCACTATGAACTAGGTATCCCAAAAGAAGAATACTTTGATTACATTATATAGCATATGTTTTCTTTTCTTTTTTTCTTACCTAATTAGTTACTCCTTTTGAAAAATATAATTACTCCTACCAATTTAGTAGCATAAATTTCAATAAATTTGGGAAAAAATAAATTATGTTCCAAGACTCCTCTCACATATATTATCAACAGGGAATTGTCTAATAATATTTTTAAAGAATATTTTAGACAAACCAGATCTAAAGGAAAATATGTTTAGGGCCATCATAACTTTTTTCTTATTAAAAAAATCATCTTTGTAGGATGCAAAAATAATTCTAAAAATAGAAATGTGAAATAGCAACTAGTGTAGTAAGAATTAAATATAGCATATTTAAATTTATTTTAAAATTATTTTTATGTCATTAAATCTTTCTCAATTACATGTAGAAACAACATTAATGTTTTAAAAATTTTTGAGTGACAAATTCTTTCCCTCTCTCCCATCTTTATCCCTCCATGAGAAGGTAAGTAATTTGATTTTGATTATATATATGAGGTAATAAAAAATATATTTGTATATTGCCACATTGCAACAAGAAAAACATAAACAATATAATAAAGATAAAGAAAGTAAGAAAGCATGCTTAAATCTGCATTCAGAGTTCATTAATTTTCTCTTTAGAGTGGATAGAATTTTTTCTGTGTCCTTTGGGTTCTTTGGAAATGTCTTGGATCTTTGTCTTGATCAGAATAGCTAAGTCTTTCACCATTGGTCATCCTTATAATGTTACTACTGCTGTGTACAATGTTCTCCTGGTTGCCATTTCATTTTGCATGAGTTCATAGTTCTTCACAGGTTTTTCTGAGACCATCCTGCTTGTTTTTTCCATCACAAAATACCATAACTTGTTCAGCCATTCCCCAGTTGATGGACATCCCTTTGATTTCCAGTACTTTACTGCCAGCCAGCCACACACACACACACACACACACACACACACACACACACACACACACACTGTACAAATAAATTTTTGTACAAATAAATATTTTCCCCTTTTCTTTGATCTATTTGGAATACAGACCTAGAAGTGGTATTACAGGATCAAAGGGCATCCACAGTTTTAAAGATGTTGGGCATGTTTCCAAATTGTTCTTCAGAATGGTTGGATTAGTCACAATTCTACCAACAGTTCAGTAGTGTCTCAATTTTTACACATGCCCTCCAGCATTTGTCATTTTCCTTTTTCGTCTCGTTAGCCAATCTTACAGGTATGAGGTGGTATCTCAGAGTTGTTTTAATTTGTGTTTCTCTAATCAGTAGTGATTTAGAGCATTTTTATGTGACTATTGATAGCTTTGATTTCTTCTGAAAACTACCTGTTCATATCTTTGACCATGTATCAGCTGGTGAATGGCTATCCTCAAATAGGGAACTGAGCCAAATTATGAAAACATAAATTTTCATAAATTTGGCTCAGTTCCCTATACATTTGAAGATAGAGGCCCCTATCACAGACACTTGCTGCAAAAATTTTCCCCCAGTTTCCTATTTTCCTTCTAATTTTGGCAGCATTTTTTTTTGTTTGGGCAACAGCTTTTTAATTTGATAGAATCAAAATTATCTATTTTGCTTTTTGCAATTCTCTCTATCTCTTGCTTGTTCAAAAACTCTTCCCTTATTTACTGATCTGAAAGGTACATTTTCCCATGATCCCCTAATTTACTTATGCTGTCACTCCCTGTGTCTAAATTATTTATCCATTTTACCTTGTCTTGGGATATGATGTGAGGAGTTGGTCTATGTCTAGTTTCTGCCAGACTGCAGTATAACATTAATTGGACCAGAATCAATAGTTTTATATATGTACACACACACGCACACACATACACATATATACATATATGCACACATATATATGTATACACACACACACACACACACACATATATATGTATATATATATTTAAAATGGACCTAAATTGTCTATCCAGTTTGGCTATCTGCATTGATCCAAATAAAATGTTTATGATTTAGTCCTTACATTCAAGAGTGTTTGTTGAACTCACTTTGACATTATTATTGTTGGAGTTGTTGACATTAATCTTATTTCTATTATTTAACATTCATTGAACATTAGACTCCAAAAAAAGATGTATATATTGTTAACTCTGTGACAAATAAAATTTTCCTACTTATTGCTTATGAAATATATTTCCTAAGGACAAAATGGTATTACTTGAATATGAACCTCAAAGTATGTAAGAATTTTTGTTATTCCTGATGAACTATGTAATATGTATAATGCCACCCCTTTTCCCATTGGTACTCAATAAATAAACAGATAAATGATAGATAGATAGATAGATAGATAGATAGACAGATAGATATTCATGTATTTTAGTCATATACTTTTAAAAATCTTAAGTTTTTTTATTAAAAGATTGATAAGGTAATCACATATTTATAAAGCTTCAGAGTTCTTGAAAACTCAACTAACTTGGCCAATAAGAGAATTTACTTTGGTTAAATATGCATATTTGTTACAATGCTTCCTCTTTCCTTCTTCTTTCCTTCTTCCCTTTCTTTCTTTTTTCTCTTTTCTTTCTTCCTTTCTCTTTTTTCTATACTTTTTTTAATCCTTCCTCCCTTTATTTTTTCTCCTTTTTGTCTTTCTTTTCATTCAAAATAAAATAATTATCCCAGTAACTTAATTAAAATGAGTTATCTTCCCCCCTTTCCTTTTCTAGAGCATGAAACTTCAAATTCATCTAACCTTCCTTCATAGGACTTTTGTTTCTTACCTTGATAATTATTGTGCTTTTCTGGGCCCTTTCAGTTTTTCCATGACCTTCTTAAAATTAATTATCCAAACCTAGACACAATGTTCTAGGGAAATTCCAAAGAATTAAAGAATGCAGTGGAAGATGGAAATACTTGTCATTGTCCTTTTTTAAAAAATCCTGGTAACATCTTGGCATCCAGTCCACTGATTAAGGTTGGCTGATAAAAATGAAGTTTTAGCACATTATTAACCAAAGCTATATTCTTTCTCTTTTAATTTCCTATCTTTCAGATTAACATCATTAAAAAATCTTAACTAATATATCCATGTTACTATTGTAGCTATTATGAATTTACAAAGCCAGAAGAACACAATACATTCCCTTTCCTCAACAATTATTTAGTAATAACTATAGACAGAAAAGGACAACTATTTTAAAATTTAAAGAAAAGAAAATGAGAATATAACGTTTACCTACAAAAAACTATGAAAGGAAACAAGATGCCCAAGAAAACTCCCCCTCCTTTTTTGATTACTATTATTATTATCATCATTAATATGATGGCTTTGATAATAACACTAATAATAATAATAATAATAATAATAATATCTGGCATTTATATAACACTGTCAGCTCTGTAGAACTCTGCAGAACTCTTTCATTTGATGCTCACAACGACCTTGTGAGGTGGGTGCTATTATTATCCCCATTTTACAGAGGAGGGTACTGAGTCTGAGAGAGATTGAGTGACTTGCCCAGGTCACAGAGCTAGTAAGTACCTAAGGCAAGTTTTCAGCTTGGTTCTTTCCAACTCCAATTATAGCATTATTATGCATTGTGCTACCTAGGTGCCTCGCTTCTAACAGTTAATGATCATACCTTTTTTTTCAGACAAGTAGCTGAAGGGATCATGGGTGATATATGTTACCTCTTCACTAATGTGAACTAGAATTTCCCAGAACTTATTCTATTAGAGTTATACTAAATTAAATATATGGAACCAGAGAATTATAGATTTTGAGTTGTAGCCCAATCAACTATGCCATCTACAAGCAGTTACCTAGCTTCTTGATTTCCTTTTAGGAATGGTTCTCACCATTCCATAAGGCAGCACATTCTATTTTTTTTAATGTTACCTTATGTCGAACTGAATTTGCAGGGTCCAGTTTCACCTGTTTATCCTTTTTCAACTTTCTGGCATCAGACAATATAAGTTCTTTATGATATAATAATCTGAACATTCCACATATTTGAAAGATGATCCTGAGTCTTCTCTATGCTAAATATTTTCAATTATTAAAGCTAATACTTTAATAGAATGCAACTTTAATATACAATCTATAATTATAAACTATAATCTTCTTTACATAATGTTCAGCTCGCTGTATATGTGTCATTTGGACTCAGTTTTCTGCAGTCATGATTTATTAATGATAACATAGTTATAGAACTGTAGCATTAACTATAACAGCTTCATTGTTTACAGAATAACATGAACTTACCTGATCCCTACTCTAGTATCCATTTTACCAAGTATAAAGCAGATTCTCCAAGGCACAGAATTAAGATAACTTTCTTTTAATTTTGTGGAAGGAAGTTCCAAATTTGTATATAAGGAGGTGGATTGGCTTTGTGTTCTACAGTTGGCAGTTCAAATGAGGATGAGACATAGTTGCCTTTCACCTCCACTTTCAGGTTTCTGAAGAGGCATCCATGTTTCCTGGGCCTATGGATCAATCAATAAGCATTTATTAAATACCTACTCTGTTAGAAACAGGGATTACAAAGACAAAAGTAAACACTTCCTGCCTTCAGGGAGTATTCATTCTATGAGAAGTGGTTTGGGGGAAGACGATATATACAGGTAAACACAAGATAAATACAAAATAGATACAAGGTGATTCTTCAGGGAAGCCTAGAACCTGAGAGGGGAAGAACAGATAAATCATGAAAGGCTTTATGTAGAAGGTGGTGCTCGAGCTGAGTTTTGAAGGACATTAAGGGGTGGTATTATGGGATATTATGAAGTAAAGGTGAAACAGAATCCATACAGAAATGAGGGACAGCAAGTACAAAGGCATAACAACAGTAAATTGAATGCAAAGTATGGGAAGCAGTAAGGTCAGTTTGAACCAAACAGCAGTTAGGAGTCTCTGAGACCAATCCCTTTTAATCACAACTGTATGCAAAGCACAAACATCTACTGACAGAAGCAGTATAGTTGAACTACTTTACCCCTGCCCTCTAATTCTAGCTGTAATCTCTGCCTCCACATTCTTCTTAATCTTTACTTTGGTGTTAATGTAATGTTTGTTAGGATGGATAGACTAGCCTGTGTTTGAGCATTTAGTTGTTTTTTGTAAAAATATGTTCATAATATATGATGCCTATATTCTAGGCCAGCATAAGTCTTAATAGGGTACTATTTAATCTGTCTTATATATGTTGCTCTGTAGATTGAAAGCCTGTACACTAAAGCCTTAGTTTTTTTTTCTCTAAAAGAATTCAGAAATGAGGCAGGCAAACTTGTTTTGCAGTATATTTCACTTAATTTATACCGATTTATTTTACTGGAGATGGGTGAGGCAAGCAATGCATTTTCCAGATGAGGTCTTTTATTTGAAATTACCTCAAAGAGTCTTCCAATGAATTGAGTTTGACTGACAGTAACTTTGTTGGGCTTCGATTTCACCATCAGTATAAAAGTCAGAAAAGCAAGTTTTGTTTGAAACCCAGTTAATTTCTGAGACATAATAGCAATGATTTCTCTATGCATTTTTTTGACCAATTTTTAGTAGTTTTAAAGGCCTTTAGGTATTTGTGCTTAATGACAGATCTGGAGACTGAGAGCTGTATATGAGCAAGTCTCTGATTGGACAATCAAGTGGATATGTGGCGAGAAGGATCCTTGCTCACCTTGGAGAAAAGGTTATGGCCATTTTTGTGAAGATGGAGAGAAAGAAGTACCCAGATTTCTCATGCTACTGGTTTATGTTACACTGCCCTTTTCTTTTCTTTTCCCATAATTTAGAGGAAATGTAAAGGTTACATTTGACAGAAAAGTTAAATTGCAGAGCCTCTTGAAAGATTGAGATATTAGTATGGGCCCATTATATATTGGCAGTTGTCTTTACTTCACTTTATTACAGCTCTTTGAGAAGCTATAATGCATACTTTAAACAAATTCTGTAGGTAAGGTTAGGAGTAGATCTTATAAATGTATATAAAGCATATGTAAATGCCAAGGCATCAGGGATCTCTTCCTTTTATTGAAAGTCATTTTTCCCAATCCTATCACTTTTGTCAGTAGTTCTTTTCTCAGGCAGTACCATCAATTTCTCCCTATTACTACCCCTAAATTTCCCTCCTCCTCATTTAAATGTCTCCCCTAAAATCTTGCCTTTTACTTAGAAACCTTTGCAGATTGATACAAGGATAGCTGTCATTTTCTCTATTTCTCTTTTACATAAAATTAGGACTCTCGTGGCTCTTTCCCACGCATGAGTTTATTCTCATTGTGGTATAGTGGGAAGAACATTGGCTTCAGAGTCAGAGAATGTGGGTTGAAATTTTGCCTTTGACACTCACAACTTGGGTGACATTTGGACAAGTTCCTTCACATCACAGTTTCCTTATCTGTTAAAGCTGGGAACTGGGCTTGATGATCTCTGAGATGCCTTCAAGCGCTAGATTTATTCCCCAATGATTTTACCCCAAATTGGACTAGGCTCTGATATACATATAAGTATAAATAAATAAATAAATAGATAGATAAACAAACACACACACACACACATACATACATATGTACATAACATATTTAATGTAATTATTCTATTTCCTAGTCATGTATTCGTCTCTTTTGTTGTTGTTGTTAACTAGTCATACTTTTTTTCTTTATGTCAGTAATGTTTGTTTTAATTTGTAAGTTAAGCAATTTTTAAAATAAGCTCTCTATGGCCCTATGGAATTCCCTTTGTAGAAGGTCATACAAATACGTACCTAATCATGTTTTTTGAGACAATAATGATCGTTTTATCAAGTAGAATATTTCATAAGCTAACGTTAAACCTGAAAGAAAAAAGTATGATTTTTGGCTTTAACAAGAACATTTTCATGCTTCAAGTAGAAAGGTTTGAAAAAACATATTAGAGTTCAATAGATATAAAGGGAGGACCCAAACAATTATCACAAAATATATATACTGTTATAGTTAATTTAGGTTTTCTCTGTTACATTATAATGGGGCCAAGGGTAATTTTTCTTTTTCAATTCATGCTATTCACATATGAAATAAATTTTTTAAGTCTGTGAAATAGTAATATCTTCTTAAAATTTTTAAATTCATACTTAGCAGTGAGTGGTATGCTAACTTGTGTCATTATAATTGAGAATTGAATATTTAATACCTCTTTTATATATGGAAACATATCCTAATCTATTGTTTTCAATATTTTCCCTCCTTTTTACTCTTCTAAATTCCTTATATTTGTTCTCTCTATATTCTTGAATTAATTCTAATTTTCTAGAACCTGAACGTTAGCAACTATATGATTTATTCCTGTACATGACGTGAGATTGCCTAGACAGAAAGCCAGACAGTCCTACAGCCAGACAGTCCTGTAATGTATTACATTTCTGATTCCAGAGTCATGCAATAAATATGGCCATATCTGAAAAGAATTTTAAAAGAGGAGGGGTGGGACAGTCGCTTTTGGAGGCAGAGTCTGAAGTAAGCTTAATTACTCCAAAGTTCAGAGAGTGATGCTAAAAGCTTACTCTGAATTATTAGTTTATGTAGCTTTTAATTGTGTGCTTTTTATTTTGGAGGGTAAACATGCCAAATTGAATTTAGTTTTTAGAATAGTAAAAATGGATCTTAATCTATTCTAGGTCATTCACTTTGATCTGAGGACCATGCCATAATGATCTGTGCAATTGACTTAGATATTTATTGTACACAGCACAATTTTATGATATGTGGTTTTTTTCCCCTCCCCTTGTATTATTCTCTGTATGACATATCCTGCCCCTAAGGTATTCAATATACTAACCTAACCTGTCACATTAGTAAATTTTTTTTCACTTGGATCTTAACTGTCAATATTATTTAAAAACTGTTTTGTATTATTCTGTCGTGTCTTTGAATAATTAAATGCAATTCATTTTAGTGTCTAAGTGGCTAAGCTGGTATAATAAAATTGTTATTTATTTATATCTTATAAAATGAGCTATAGAATTGTGAACAATTGGTGGGATTGATAGTGCCTCTTGGGTTACTAATGCCCTTGGTGTGTGAGTATGCAAATATGCATATGTATACATACATTCATACATGATGACAATGTCACTGTTATTTATCTTCACTTTGTATACTTAGGCTTATACACATACACATACATATACATATACATATACATATACATATACATATACATATACATATACATATACATATACATATACATATACATATACATATACATATACATATACATATACATATACATATACATATATATTTGTTGATCTCAAAGAACCATCCTTTCAGTGTTGGAAGCCACTTTAATGATCGTCTACAGATCATTCATGAGCAGAGGCTAATAACATGCTGTCTGGCTTTACTTTGTAGATTTCTAAATGCTTTTCTTGCTGTTTCCTTTGAAGGTAATAATGCCTGTCGAGTAAACAACGGTGGCTGTGGAACACTTTGCTTAGCCATTCCTGGAGGTCGAGTTTGTGCTTGTGCAGATAATCAACTTCTTGATGAGAACGGAACCACATGTACATGTAAGTTTCCTGTGAAAGTTGAGGTGATGGCACTATGAAGAAAAAGGAGAACTGAAAATGAAGCTTGGAAATGGAAATCTAGAGGATCATGGAGATGCATTGCTTTGGAGAAATTTATCATTTAGCTCAATTTAAGTTCACACATATAAATTGTGATGAAAGGTAATGAAGTGTGAATTATGACATCGAATTAGTAATTATTTACAACATACAAGTAAAATGTATATAAATATATGACTCGGGGGAAAAAAACAAATAGCATAAATAGATCCTGGTATACTGTAGGGTGGATTTTCTTTCATTGTTTGTTTCTTTCTTTTTTGTTGTTAGGTAATTGGGTTAAGTGACTTGCCCACAGTCACACAGCTAGTAAATGTTAAGTGTCTGAGGTCAGATTTGAACTCAGGTCCTCCTGAATCCAGGGCTAGTGCTCCATCTACTGCACCATCTAGCTGCCCCTAATGTCAATAATATTTAACTAAGAAACAATGGAGGGGGCAGCTAGGTGGTGCAGTAGATAGACCACCTTAGGCATATTTTATCTCTTACTGGACCAGTACCTGAAGTCTTTTTATTTTAGCAATCACATTCATTTGAATAAACATTTTTTCAAGTGTTCTTTATGTGTAAGAACTGGAGTCAGGAGGACCTGAGTTCAAATGTGGCCTGAGACACATGATACTCACTAGCTGTGTGACCTTGGGCAAGTCACTTAATCCCAGTTGCCTGGCCCAAATTAAATAAATAAATTAAAACAAACAAAAAATATTATTGACATTTTATTTAATATTTATTAAGACTTGTAGTCAACTGGTCAAACAACAAAAATGTATTAAGTACCTACCCTTATAAGGCATGGTGCTAGGCACTGGGGATAAAAAGATAAAAATAAAATATATCCTGCCCTCACAGAGAGCTTAAATTCTAATGGGGTAAAATAACACATACACACACACACACACACACATACAGTGTGTGAGTATGTGTGTGTATGTATATATATATGTATGTATGTATGTGTGTATGCGTGTGTGTGTGTGTGTGTGTGTGTATGTGTAGTCAATTTGTGAGGAGATGTCGGACACTAGCAGATGAGGCATCAGCAAAGATATCAAGTAGATGATGGTTCTTAAGAATTTTGAAGGAAACAAGGGATTCTAAGAATACGCAGGAAGACTATTCTTAGGTACTTTAAAAGATACTTTAAAATTATTTTTAAAAATTAAGGATTTTTCCCCAATTTTGTTAACACTGCTAGTAGCAAATCTAGGTTCTAGTGCTCTTTAAAGGTCACTGCCAAAGATAGGAGTTAGAAAAGAAGTCTTATTTATGGTCAATTTCCCAGGAAACACAAAACCCATTTGTGAAAAGTTAGCATTCTTCTAGTCATTATCTACACTAATATAATCAGTTTTCCATTATTTGTTTTAAAAATCTAGCAGCCTGTAAGCTCTGTGAAGGCAGGAAACATATATTAGATGTATTATGTATTTCTTGGGAGGCTTAAACCAGTATCCTGAACGTATTGGATACATAGAAAGTAGCCTCTAAAGTTCTTCACAGTTCAGCAGCTATGGTCCTATGATGCTATGATTTATATTGTTGTTGTTTGTCGGCTGTGTCTGATTCTTCATGACTCTATTTGGAGTTTTTCTTGGCAAAGATACTACAGTGGTTTGCCACTCCTTTCTCTGGCTCATTTTATGGATGAGAAACTGAAGCAAACAGTTAAGTGACTTGCCCAGGATCACACAGCTAATAAGTGTCTAAGGCTGGATTTTAACTCAGGTTTAACAAGGTTTATGGATTTATAGAATGGAATAATTGAATGTGATCAGATCTTTCTAAGACTCTTACTCCAATACATCATAATGAAATGAAGGTGGTTCAGAGTTGACCCTGGGCTTCTTGAATGTTATGCAGATGGAGTGTAAGCTTTGACATTTTTTATATCTGTTCCATACATGAACTTCTTTCTATCGCCTTAGTATATATAGGCCCCCAACACTCCTCATCCATTCTACTTCAATGGCTTCTTAATTGAATTTCCTTATTCTAGTCTCTTTATTTCATATCAGTCCTTTATACAGGCGCCAAAATCATCTTGATAAAGATATAGGTCTAAGCATTTCACTCTTGCTCAAAAGACTTTATTGATTCCCCATTACCTTAGGAAACTATAAGTAAATGCATAGAGGCATACTAATACACACACACACACACACACACACACACACACACACACACACACACACACACACACACTCCTAGACCCAGAAGGGCTATGGCCCTATCTTCTCCTTCTAAATGGGCTCCTAGCTCTGTACCAAGCATGTATTACTGGTCAGTCCCAGGAGAGCATTTGAGAAAAAGTTAAGCTCTTTCAACCCCAACCCTGAGGGACGAGGGAAATAGCTCAAAAAAAATTTAGGTTTGCCTCATGTATAGGGTCTTCCCTAAAAAGAGGAGTGTAGAAAGATACTCAATACATATAATTGGTCAGGAATAGGACATATTTGTGTTTTTTTTCTACAAATAAGAAATGCTAAATATTAAAAAAAAATCCTAAGTTCTCATGAGCAAGACTTACTGCTGTTATTCTTCTTGTCTTTTGTTCTTGAAGCAGACCAATGACATCATGAGGATGATGTGTTGAAATGTGCATGAATTGAATTTTACCAGACTTACAATAACTCTGACAATCTCCCAAGAGGTTGATATTTCCCAAATAACCTTTTATAGGACACCTGAGCAGCCATTTCACCCTCACTCCACTCTGCATTGTCTAACAACTGCATCAAGGTTCATGTCTCCTGTATTCTAGATGTGGGTTGATCTCTTTCTGCTGTCAATGATCATATCTAAGAAGACTATTATAATTGCTGAGGGCTTTTCCTTAAGTGTAGTTGTCACTGGCTAAGGGCTGAGAAGATTCCAACCTCTTGATTTCACAAGTTTGGTTCCAAGACCAAATATATCCCTCTCAGGATTATTGTTTAGTCACTTATATCTAGAGGAGGAACACAAAATCAGTCAGAGAGGGGCCCAGGGTCCAGAACCCAGCCTCAGAATTACATAGGCAAGACAGGTGCTCTTTTGTCATGTGCTGGTATCAGCCATGAAGGGGTTTGGGGATGGGGGAGAGATTGAACTGCACACTTACCCCTAACCCCTCCAAGAAGAAGCTTCAAGAATCACAACATTCAGGGCAGTTAGGTGGTGTAGTGGATAGAGCACCAGCCCTGAAGTCAGGAGGACCTGAGTTCAAATCCTGCCTCAGACCCAACACTTGATACTTACTAGCTGTGTGACCCTGGGCAAGTCACTTAACCCCAATTGCCTAAAAAGCAAAAAAAAAAAAAAAAGAATCACAACATTCTTGGCAGATTGGAAGATGGATCATACCAGAGCGTATAGTCTGTCCTTTTTAAGTTCAACTGGTCAGGCTTCTACTCCTAGCTCAATGGCCTAATCATCTTCCTATAGCCATCTTTTTGTTTGTTTGTTTTTAGGCAGTTGGGGTTAAGTGACTTGCCTAGGGTCACACAGCTAGTAAGTGTCAAGTGTTTGGTCTGAGGCTGGATTTGAATTCAGGTACTCCTGACTTCAGGGCCTATGCTCTATCCACTGCATCACCTAGCTGCCTGTCCTACAGCCATCTTTCCAGCAAGGTTGCTAGAAAGATCAAAGGACCACCCAGGGTTTCCTGTGTTATCCAATAGGAGCAAGTTTTCAGCACTGTTTCTACATCTTTTTCCAGAAGTGACCAAGGCAAAGGCTAACACTTTATGGATTGAACTCTAACCCTGGAAGACCAATTGGTCTGCACTTTTAACATCCTGTCTCTACCTTCCATTACAAATGCAGACTCTTTGGACAGACGTTTAAGGGCCTCCATAATGGAACTCTTCCTCTCTTTCCAGCTATATTTCATATTACTTCCCTTCATAAAAATTATACTTCTACTTGTTCACAAACTTTAACCTGTCCCACTTGTGTACATTTGCCCAAGCTGTCCCCCATGCCTGAAATGTACTTCTTTCTCACCTCTGCTTCCTATAACTCTGATCTTCCTTTAAGTCTCATCTCAACAGCCCCCTCCTTTGTGAAGCCATCTCTGATCTATTCAGTTTTTTTCTTTCTCTGCGACTTTTTTCCTTTTGAAAAATAAGTTCTCTTTTCATCCTCAATTCATATTTACTTATCTGTGTAAAGTTGTATCTCCCCAGGAAGACATAAACTCCTCAAAGATGAGGGCCATCTCATTTTTGTCTTTTTCTTCCTAATACCTAGTTCTTACACATAAAGAACACTTGAAAAAATGTTTATTCAAATGAATGTGATTGCTAAAATAAAAAGGCTTCAGGTACTGGTCCAGTAAGAGATAAAATACGTCTAATTCTGGAGTAGTCTTCTAATTCAGGGCAGAGAAGCCAATTATTAGAAGACTGGACAACAGTGATAATTTTTTTTTGGGGGGAGGTGATTGTATATAGTAGGCAATGAAGCAAACAGAATAAAAAATTATAAAATATAAGTTTTTTCACCCCAGCTGTTATGGCAGAGTAGAGGTGAAAAAATAAGCCAGAAGAAGCTAAGAAACTCATGGTTCTTAGACCAGCTAAAACATTTATTTAACTATTGGTATAAATGGATGTCTTTTTTTTTTACCCCCAATGACCAATGAATTAACACACTATTGGAGAAAATGAGCCACATAAATACTGCCTTTTTTAAAATTATAAATGAAACCAGAATACTTAAAGAGGTTACAAAGAGACAAACAAAGATTCTTCAGCAAAAGTTGTTTAAAGTTGCTTGAAGGGTTGGTTTCCTCATGCAAACTATAGCAAAATAAACATATTTTAAGGGGACACTTGGTCATCTCACCTTATAGTACACAGGATGATCACAAGTAAGCACCTACCCTTGTTCAGGTCCTCATAGACTCTTGCCTAGACAAGCTTCTTAACTGGTCTTTCACACCTACTATTTTCCTT